GCTCCCCCCTCCTGTCAGGCAGTTGTAGGGAGTGATAAGGGCTCCCCTCAGCCTCCTCTGCTCCAGGATTAACACCCCCAGCTCCCCCAGCCGCTCCCCAGCAGCCTGGGGCTCCAGACCCCTCCCCAGCTCCCTTGCCCTTCTCTGGACAGGTTCCAGCAACGCAACGTCTCTCCTGTAGAGAGGGGCCCAACCCTGAACACAGTGTTCACACAGATATGAAGCAGCTCTTCAAGCAGATACAAGTTGCTGGTTTGTCAAACATACACAAACCTTGCAGAACAACCGCCGTGCCGCTGCTGTTAGACTCGCCCTGCCATTTTACGAGAAGTTATGATTTCTTAGGGTAGCGGCAACTAAGCCGCGAATATTTTGTTCTGGGCAGCAACCGGCAGCTGGGGTTTCTAAAGGGATGAGGGGGAGAAGCTCTTTCTTAATCAAAGGGGGCATAGCTACAAAAGTAAAAATAAAGCCAGATGCTTCAAGTCTTTTCTGTTGTATAGCTTAAGTGATTTTTCTGGGTCATTACTCAATGCGAGGATTTAAAGTTATTTCATTTTGCACAACTAATTACTCTACTTGCCTGGCAATTTTGGATTACAACGAGCAGTGCGTAAGGTCATTTAGCAGACTGAGTCACAGCACATATTTTAGTCTAAACTAAATTTCACGGCAACCAGCTAGATTGTTTTTTCCTCCTCCGAACAAAATGTCAAAATCTGAGGTTTTGAAATAAATATAATGACAGAAACCGCAAGCAGCAAGAGTGTTACAACAGTAATAGAGTGGTTGTTTATAGGAACAGATCTCAAGGACAGGGAAATTCTATGCGCTTTACTTCGGACCAAGCAGGTATAAGGGAGAGCCATTATCTCCTTTAATAGACGCAAAGCTTGCCTTACAGCTTTCTTAATGCACCTGATTGTGTCTAGGAAATGAAAACTAAAGGTTCCAGTGGACTAGTTCAATCTTAATTGTGTTATGGCGGTACCAGACCTGAAGGGAGATGACTGAGACCTTGAGAGGACAGAAGGGATCCAGTGACCCTGCTCTGAAGAACAGGGACTGCTGTTCCAGCAGAGCTCGAGGCTGTACACTTGAAGTGGCTTGGATTTGGTGAAGATCTTTTGTCTAAACTGCTGCGTTCACAAGAAAGCCTGAAAACTGCAACCTCATAAAGGTAAATACAACAGCAACATACGGTCCAAGAGAAGAGAAAGAAGTACTGGGAAGGCTGGTGGGCAGAAAGCCTTAGGGAATGGGATAGGACCTGGCAGGGCACAGCCCCTCCATGGGCTAATTTAGCATAAGAGGAGTCACTGCGAGGGAACATCTTCCACATCTGTAGCAGGCACTTTCAGAGCTCAGCTTGCCGAGCGTCCAGCGTGGCCAGGTAACCTCAGCCAAAGAGACTCTCTCTCTCGAGACCGTAGGAAATGCAAGAAAACCAAACATTTCACTCACGGCGGACCTACAGCACTACTGCAGCCCTCCAGCTGGGTGGTGAAACCCTCTGAACCTCCTCCGCCCCCCCACAGCACAGCCCGAGCCCACCAGCACCCCTCCGCGCTCCCCCGCTGATGCGTCTCCCAGGTCCTTGGCGGTCCCGCTCCTCCGTGGCAGCACACCCCCGGCACACCACACCTTTTCCCAACTTTTCCCAGCTGGAGAACAGAAGTTTCCCATGCTGAGGCTCAGTTAGTCCGCACCGTGTGAAGGAAAAGAGTTGTCACTCAAATGCTTGACAAGACGAGACCCTCCGCATTACTGCTGATAACATCTCCATTTTCTCTAAATGCCGGAGCACTTACAGACATTTGTTCTGCATTTTGTCTATCGCAATGGGAACAAGCAAGCTAGAACAGCTCCTGGGGAAATCCCACCGGGGCTGTCAGATTTTGCTATCAGAGCAGCTCTTCTCTTCCCCTAACCAAGCTCTCCTCCTCCTCCTCACCCAGACAGACCAAAGGGCTGCAGAGC